TTTCTTTCAGTTTCGCCGAGTTTGAGAACATTTCAATTCTGTCGATTGTCAGTTATATTATTATCCGGCATAACCAGTTTCGATCTTGGGCGATCGGGCCACCGGTTATGATCGAACGGAAATCATTGACACGTATTGCAGCGCGCGTTGTGTTATTCATTGAGAATGGCGACAAGTTTAATCAGTTCCCGCGATTAAGGAGCGATTATATTTCTTCTCTTTGTGCTTGCTTCCCGATCGCGGATGACTCGACGCGGTCGCGATGCAATAAAATCTATGAAAACAATTAACGGAACAACGGTAGTATTACCCCTTTGAAGTTGTCACGCTCTACTATAACTACTGTTGATTCTTTTTCTTTTTATATTTATATATATTTATATATGTATAATCGGCTAACGAATCGCTCTCGTTCGCGTATCGTTGACTCGCGCGCCGGACTGGCGCGAATCTAACCACCGACTTTAAGCGTCGCTTTAACAGCGAAACTGGAGTCCTACGTATATCGTGTCGCACACGGTATACTTTCGACAAAGCTCACTCAGATTAACAATTGAGAAAAAAAATCAGTCACATTCAAGCATACGGCATAATTTTCCCGATTGACGATTTTTTCTCTCGCAACGGAATGCAGCGATCGCTTCCGAATCGTCCAAACTTAACGAACCTAACAACAACGACGAAATAAAATGACGTTAAATACGCTAAATTTCATCTATAAAATGAAATCTATGTCACGGCGCATAGCGCGAAATCGCAAGACACTTAACGAATCTCGTCTCGATTTTTTTTCGTCAAAACGTATCGACCACAAGATAATCATCAACCTATCGTAGAAGAGCCTCTAAAGGCTGTAATTTTTGCATTGCAAGTAATTCTCTTCGTATCTTTGGTGTTAAAGTCAACTCATATTCGCACACTGCGTTCTTGCACTTTCTTGAGATGCGTTCAGCCTTAACAGTCTATCCCGATGGAATATTATTTATCAACTTCCCTTCACTGTCGAAATAAGCCGGGAGAAAAATGCGTCGCTTAAACTTACAATTTCATTCTAAATTCCTGCGAGCAAATTTATCCCAATAATTTAAAATTAAATAGAAAAATAAATCGATGACAGCAATTATTTTTATGATTATGAAATATCTTGCGCAGATTATAAAATTATGAAACATCTAATATCACATAAAAATCTTTGTCGTAATAACTTTGTCTTTATATCTCTATATTAAAGCATATTTCGACATAATATTTTTGCTTTAATTTGAATTTATAGATAAATTAAAAATCATATATTTATAAATCACGCGTATGGCTCATCGGATCGGCAATATCCGTATAATTATTATAACTGATTTTGGGAAAAATTGAAAATTTTCAAAGTTAAGGCTGAGCGCACGATTTACAATTGACACATTTGTATATCTCGTTCACATCAACACATATTCTCACGTACACGCACAACACGCAATCAATTCTCATCTTTCAGATAGTGAATTTCATATTTTTCTCTCTTTCTTTCTTTTTCTTTTTCTCTCACGTATTATTGGTTCGCATAAGCGGCCAATGATCTGGCATGAGACGCGGCGACGCACCCTCGCAATTATAACGCTAATATACCGACACGCTACTATTTTTTTTTCGTTTACTCTTAAATATACATCTACTTGCTTGATATAGCGATCAACGATAATCATCCTCTTCTCTCTCTCTCTCTCCTTTATTACGATTCTTCGTTCGCCCCATTCGCTCTAGCTTTTCAGCCATTTTTTACGCACATATATATCTTTACCTTTTCTCTCGCCTTCTCTTTCTCTCCCCCTTGTCGCCCTTTTTTGTATACTTTTAATGCTGCAGTTTCAGCGATTAGAAGATCCAAGTAAAATTATTAAATGCTGGCAATAATATTTATCTAAGTCGCGACGATAGTTCTCGATTACTGCGTAAATACTGATAGATATATTTGTTCGCCGTTTACGTTGCACCACCAACTTCTAGTACCTCGTCGAGTATCTTTTCACTTCACTTTCGTTTTACTTTCTCTCTTCCTGTCCTTGGTTTTTTTTTATTTCTTCATCGTATTTATACCTTCTCCTCGATATTTTTTTCATATTTATATATTTATATCTATATCTCTCGCTTTTCTTATCTGTCACTTCTACTGCCTCCCTTCTTTTCGCTTCCCTTTCGCTTTCCGTTCTTCTGTGTGTCTTTTCTCTCTCCATCATAAATATATTTGTAGTGTTATAGAATTTTCGATTCGTAGAACGATTTAATCGCTCAGCCATGCAGTTTCATTTCTGTTTTTATATGTATTCTTTCCCCTCTTTTCTTTCTTTTTCTCGCGATTACTCTTTTACTCGCCACTTGTCCCGCATTCTTTCATCAGATGCATTCTCTACCTTTCGCTCTTTCAATATACATTAACAACTATAGTCGTTTAGTCTCGTAGACGTCGATTACTCGCCGATTACCATGATTTACTTCAAATCATTTTTCGTGTAGTTACAATGATAGCGTACACATCATCCTTGTACTCCGTATAATTATTATAACTGATATTATAATTAGCAGTCTGATATATTCGATATAAAAGAATTTGATGACGTTGTTACTTAAATTTAATGAATTTATATCCGTTTGCAATATATTATTAATCCCTTTTACTCGTAATTAATTGAGTTTTTTTCGTATATTTCCATAATTTACTGTTATTGTAATAAAAAAAAATTATATAATAAACGGGATATCTTCTTTAATTTTCAGAGTATTTCTAATTATATAGAAAATAATTCTATTTTGCAATCCCCGGTATCTTTGGTTATTTATTGTATT